AATCTTCGTTAAGTATAAAGTGACGGTAAGCTGCCTCTTCTCCTCTCATGCTACATGTAAATATAGTTTTCACCATCATTTATAGAAAACCGTAGCTTGTTCAAAGCCTCGGTTTAAAGTAGTGCCGGGCTATCTCCTGAAACGCTAACAGGAATGTCGAAGGGTATTTTTGCGACTAGAAGAAGGGGCTAGGACTCGAGTCAGGATAATGATTTTAACCAACTACTTATTTATTGAAAGCACGGATGTTTAACTTCGCTTCGACGCATTTTAGTCAACCGGTTTAGATTACTGCCGGCTGAGCCATTCTCCTGCAATCCCGCAACTTCACGCTCAGAATTAGCATAAACGCTTTGGTTTCTTCTATCCGACTGTTTTAGGTGGCATCACGCGCCAGTTACACCCTTGCTATTCAGTTTGGTATTTTGGCGATATAATAATAATCATCCTTGGTGTTTTGGTGGTATATTTATTCACTATTAGGATTTTTCGCGTTGTTTAGGCATATTTTTTAAGTTTCAGAGCGCACTTTAAGATGAAAATTATTCACATTTATGGGAAATACATTTTTTAACATTAACTTTTTTCGTCTACTCCCTCCCAGCATTTGGTCTCACCCGTTACACCCCTATTACTATCGGCCCTATAATACATGCTGAACTACCCTTTGTTCCCTGAATATGGTCGCATATTGCGTCCTTGCTGAAGAAGGTTACTCAGGTGGGATTGTAGTAGTGATTATCTGGCAGCATAATCCCTAATACCCCAATACGGTCATGTCGTTGACCCTAAATGTGCTTCTTTTCAGCTTACAAATGACTGCTTAAGTATTATGATGTTTTCGCATTGATTTTGATAATCTTATCGATGAAATTATACCTTACAGAAAGCATGCCTAAAACACACTTGGCTGTATTCATATATAAGCAATTGCTTCTTCAAATTTTAAAAGTTTAAGAAAAGGTAACTTCAAGTTTTAAAATAACTTTTATACTCTCGAAATTTTTGACTATGATCAACAGTTGTATTACGTTGAGGGTTTTCTAACGAAATTTTTTATAACGTCCAGTTATAAATATCATGCAGTTGTCTGTGCAATTGATACGACACTATATATGGTGCATAACATTTCGCAGTGAATATGAACATTATTGAATAATTCACAGATAGCGGTCGGAATGGACGTTTCATAATTTAAAAAGGTTATAATGTTCCATGAAAAAAATGAAAATTCTACTCACTTCAAAAACGAAGTTGTTACCAAATGAATACAAGAAAGGATAGTTTTGTGCTTGTTGTAGAAAACAGTATACCTGAATTTACGTGGATAAATAATATTGCCGACAAAGACAAGGGGAGACTGGAATGGCCAGTTCTCGTCCATTAACCGTCACCAATGATTAGTGTAAGACTTATGATTAAAAAGTCGCGGGTTCGAGTCTCGTTAGGGCATCACTTGGGGTTGGATATAAATGGCTCATGACGGCAAAAGAGCCAGAAATGACTGTTCCAGTCTGCCTTGCCTTTGTATGCAATATCATTCTGCCCATATCATCAGCCACTGAATGGCTGCCAGCGGGTCTCGAGAATGGTTCTCAAGGCAGAGCAAAATGAGTGAGTTCCTTTAGCGATCGGTGAACGTTTATCAACGATTGTTTGTAAGGATCGAAAAAATTGACGAAAAAATCACGCTACATCAACAGCCCTTTTTCCTGAGTGCTTTTGAAAACGGCCGAAGGGAGGCGAATCGAGAATCGACATCCCGGCTTTACTGAAATATCTGGAATTATGTTGCAAGATAATCATTCCTACAACTCGCACCTGAGAAGTACTTACTCACCGAAGGCAAATTTAAGAAGTTCGTTTAATATCGCATAATATGCGCCATCCACTGAGCATGACATTGCTCACACCACCATGCTGTGTAAGTGAAGCAGCCATTATAATTTTTTGCTTCGTTAGCGTATCAAACAATAAGTTGTCAAACCGCGTCTTCTGTTACTATCCCTGGTATATGAACATGCAGAAAATGGGTGATTGACTATTATAGTGCTGTAGAACTGAATTAGTTGCTCAAGCAGTAAAAAACGGACAAGCCTTGTTTGGATAGGCCTGTATTTCAATTTGTCAACCAGGAGCTGCGTCTCCTTTACCTGGGCACCAGCCAATCTCATTTCATTTGCCTGGTTGGAAGATCGTGAAAAGTAATTTCGGATAAAGGGTATGCATGCTACCGCAAGGGATCTGAGGAGTCATCAGAATATTAATGAACAGGCCTCAATATTTTTTGATCTGCTACAGTTTTCGACGGTAACATTTACACTTGGACAGATTTTAATATCCTCCCCGGAATAAGTAACAGTTATTGGAGGATACCACCATGCGCCATCTCTTTTGTTTCCTTCCTTAATGCGCATCAAGCCCCGCACCAGTTTAAGTATGCTCCAGACTATATTTATCTAGCTTTTTACCACAGAACCGAGCAGCCTTATAGAGGCGTCATTCATTTATTCCTTGCGAAAGCATTTCTTGGGGCTTTACAGTCCGGTATATCCCATAGACGTCCCGATCACTAAGCAGGAATGATTGCGGGACGGATGGAACCTGCCTCTGTCTACAAACCTCCTTGGCTTGAGTATATCCATTGGTATCTACCTAGGTCGCATCTGGGAATGCCATATTTTCACCTCTAAACGGACCCACTTACTCCATTTCTAGCAAATGTAACGCTCAAAACCCCATCAGTTTGGAATAAACGGGAAAATTTTGAAGATTTAGAGCAGACCAACCTACCACTGATTCTTCGGGTTGTTTTATCAGCGACCAGTCGATGGATTCTCGTTTTTCGTCCAAAAGACTTCGGTAGAGTGAAAAGAAGGTATCCTCATCAATGAGGGCCTCTTGGCGTTCAGACTCGGGCACTGCCAGGCGCATCCCCATAAAAACTTCTTGAAGACCGTTGTCGGCATCACTCTGCTTTACTTCACGAAAACTTCCTGAAGAACGATGGAGAGAAAGGGGTGGCATATTTGGCGTCACCACGTCCATTTCTTTGGCGTAAACGTGCTCTCTGACTATCGATCGATACAGGTCATGACATAAATTTGAACTGTCTGCACACGAGACTGTGAAGGGTGCATCAACTCGCGTGCGCACTTGCACTGAAATCGGCATTTGCCGAGAGGGAATGGCATATATTCCCCACCAGAGCTGACAATACCAAGTGAAACAACTTATTCAAATATGACACCTCAGGAGAGACATGATACTTTCTCGAAGTAACCGTCAATGTGATCTTCAAAAATGGAGACCAGAATTCTGGCGGAAAAACTGCCGCTTTATTCAGCTTAAAAAGAACTGGACTGAAACAACTTGCTCTAAAAGTGGAGTTTTCTCTGACACAGAGGAAGCTTAAATTTCACCTCATGTAAAGGCAGGTGTAAAGAAAAAAAGTGAACTAACAGCGTTAATACAAAGCAATTGGCCATGAACGAGTGATTTTAAGGGAAAGGACA